TTTAGTTTCTTTTTTGTATTGAGATTGTAGTACATCACGGGAGTGAGCTTGGAGCGCTGGCTACTTTACAACACACACAGGGACCATGGGTGAAGAAGTAGCTACCCTCCAGAAGGAAGGACAGTGTCAGTATGAATTCAGAGATGATTTGAGGATCTACAGCCGAGTGATACACAAATAAGATACATTTTTTTAAATTGTTAGGGTACTTAAATGCATTTTTAAGGTTTAACTCCTTAACTCCTTCCTGTACCAGGAAGTTCCTCAGATATTTAATATCTCTCCCAGCATGCTCCCCATACCTGCTGATTGGCCAGGCATTAAAAGTCCTTCATGCATCATCTCTAGCACACCCTGCTGGTGGACACCCAGCACAGCAGGTGACTGAGAATAATCACTCTACACTTACAGGGTTATTCACAAAAGGGTGAAGAGTTTGGAGAAGGCAGGAGAAGTGAACAATCTAGGCCAAAATAGCTGATTTGGAAAAATTCTCAAATTCAGCTCACTTTCCAGTTAGGCTATATTGTCCTAGATTGTTTACTTCTCCTGCCTTCTCCAAACCCTTCACCCTTTTGTAAATAACCCTGTTAGAGTACACTAGCCAGCACAGCTAAGCTGACTAAATCTACACTGACAAATCAGAAAGACAAAATAATTTAAGGAAAACACTACATCCCTACAAATGTATTTCCTTTTTTTCTAATTTTTGCCCAGACACTTATAGTCATGTTTCCAGACTGGCTTCAACTCTCCTATTTTGGCTTCTCTAAATTTCATGTCCAGTACAAGATCAGCAGGGACAGAGCAGTCTTCAACAGCTCTTCATCCATTACCTTGGAGAAGGGAGGGGGGAGGTGTGAGGAGCAGAGAGAAGGGACGTGCCTTGCCTTGCCATGCCTGTGTGTTTGTGGAGACACCCTCAGCTTACTAGAACACACAAGGGTGGCTCCATTGGACCCTGCAAGGGAAAGAAGCCACCCTAAAACAGGATACAGGGCCAGTGCTCAGTAGAGCAGCAGATTCTGCAGGAAACTAAAACTTTTAAAAGTCAAGCAACATTGTAAGTAATTTAATCAGCATTTGAAATAGCTCAAACACCTTTTGACTTTAATTTAACTTTAACTGTCCTCTTATATTAAAAACTGTTGGCAAAATTGCTATCAGGTTCTGTTTAGATTTCTTAACTGTTATTCTCTTAAAAATGACTAGTGTTTTTTGTATTTACATTTTTAGAACACTGGTGCATGTGAATTATTATTGTTATGTATTTATACTGTAGGAATGGTGCACTGCTGAGGGCATATTGCAGTGCAGTCTTTATGTTTAGCCACAGCTGAGCTGAGCAAACCTGTGAAGGGCACTCTCAGCTATATTCCATCTACTTCAGACTTCATTCTTAAAAATCATTATATTATTTAGGCATTTTTGTTTGGCTGCTGAACGTTTTGTCCCCCCTCCATTTTTGTCATTTCTCTCTCATCCTCTCTTGTAAAGCCACAAGCATTAGCCTGCAAACACTAGCTGCCGAGCATCATATTCAGCAAAGCTTAAAGCGGAATTACACCCTTATATCCCTTACAGCACAGGAAGGTGCCATCTTGGCCTCTATTTGGATTGTATTGGTGCTGCACATGTAATCAGCTATGACACCAGCCATTTGAGGGCTTGAATGTTCAGTTGGGAGCTGAAATTTGCACATTGGCACCCTTGATAGTTGGCATGCCCCCAAAATTACTGTTTTGGGAGACCATTAAATTGGTCGGTCAGGTTCCCCTAACGTTTAATAAATGCCCCTTAAAACGTGCCTGTTATTTTTTACAGAGAGTCTGCATGTTTATAAAGGGCTTGAATTCATCCTTAGGAATTGTCATTAACAAGGTTGCAACAACAATTATTAGCAGAACACTGATAACCTGCGAACTATCATAGATCCCATCACTTCATGTTTATCCAGACAGACAGAGTAGGAGATAGACGGACAGGCTGGGGTAAGTAGTTCCAAAGGATGGGAGATACTCTAGAGAAGTACCGGAGGCTAGCATGGGAGGAGTTGACAAGGGAGCTAGAGAGCAGGAGGTCTTGGGAGGAGCGAAGGGCATGTTTAGGATGATACTTTGAAATGAGGTTGGAGATTTAGCTGGGGCAGAGTTGTGGATGGCTTTGTAAGTGGTTGGTAATATTCGGAAATGTTCCCCTTTTGATGTTACAAAGGTGAAGGCGACAGGATTTGGATAGTGTTTGGATGTGGAGCAGAAAGGTGAGGTTGGAGTCAAGGATCACATTTTATGCTTCATTGACTGAACTCTGCTGAAACCCAAAGAACCCAGAACTTGTGCTAACTTCTTGCTTATTCCACTTTGTTTTGCTGTGGAATTATTTTGTCTTTTTTCTTTTGTAATATCTTTTCTGCATATTGTTCTGCGCAATTTGTCTTTTATTAAACTTTATTAAAATCATTAAGCTTTACCTCAATGCTCTAAATAAGAATTTAAAAAATCCTTGTCTTTGTGAAGAGTGCTACCATATTGTAAAACCTGTGATATTCCTTTCTGGAGGGATGGTGATAATAGTGAGCTACATTTGCTCTTGCTCATGAACACTCTGACCCGGTGAACAAGCATTGTGCACTTTGGCATGACAGCAAATTTCAGTAATGCCTGCTGTGAATTATCCTATTTATAAAAATCGCTTGCATCCCACAGTGGGAAACCAGCTTGCCATGTTTCACACCCTGACTTGTCAAAGACTTTCATATACCCAACACCTGAAAATTTGGCTGTCTAAGCAATTGCATGACTCCTCTACTTGACGCAACAATACCCTTTGAGTCTACTGTGATATATATGTAGTACGTATAAGAATAGACAAAATAATAATAACCTACCTACAGAGAGCTGACATTTCCACACAGCAGGGTCTTGCAAGTCACTGCTGTGAGTAACAAAGAATTCAGCAAACTTTAGGAATGTTATTGCTCTCAGAAAATTCTGTGATTTATATAAAAGGAACCTGTAGGCACCAAATGTCCCAGTTCACAGTAAGTTTTCTAAAATGCAGTGAAATTTACATCAGTTATTTAAAGGAAAATACATTTTTTTAAAAGCAACTGCCCAAATGATGCTAGTAAGAAGTAGAAGCAGATGGGTAATACAGAAAGTTAATTCAATATATAAAGTATTTAAGAAATAACATAATTTAAAACTGATATTGATTCAAAATTTGTGTTTCTTATATTCATTAGGAATTCCAGCAGCAGGATCTATAGATCCATCCACAATATTATAAGCGATCATCATGTAATTTTCGTATGACATTAAGGTTATTTCTGTGCAGATAAAACAGTGGGGCTCAAATAGATGGGGCATGACTGGAACTCTTGAAGAGGACCCTTATCAATAAAAACCTTAAAAATGTAAGAATGCAATTGGTCAGTTTGCAGGCCAGAATCCACTATATCATTAAATTAGTTTTAGACTGATCCTTTAAAACGCATTGTACCTGCAGGCATATTTCAAAATATTATGCAAAATACCTATTTACAATTTTTATCTGGCATTCATGCTTTGCCCAGGATGAGCCTCCCTGCTCAGTGGGTTCTGCCGGATAGTGGAAATGTCTATTGGTTTATAGTCTAGTGGCACTAACAGAAGATCCCAACAAATGTAAATGAGAGAAACCTATACTATAGATAATTGTATAGTATAGATTCCGGGGGAGGAATCTGCAAAGGCTAAGTGAAGGAATACCTGAAAATAATGGAAGCTGGCATCCACTAGAACTTAAAAATAACTACCTAATCTAGCATTCGCCAAAGACTGGTCCATAGGCTGGATTTGGAAGCTGGCCTGTCCAGTAATGTAGGTATTATAGTATAATGTGGCTTTGAGGATGGAATGTACTTAGTCTGAAAGGTTACGGCATTAAGAAATCTCAAATACCTTATGAAGAAATTAAAGATAAGTATTTCAGCTCTACAGAAAATTAGATGAAAAGGTGAGGGAAAATTAAATCAAAAGTATGTACAATATTGTATAGTGAAGGTCAAGTGTGGTACAGGCTTAATCCATTAATCATTAGCTGCATTGACAAAATAGGTAGACTCAGATAGAAAAGTGTCAGAAACCTGTGGTGGTGTATTCAGCAGTTGTATTGGCCTGCTCCCTCATATGTGGTACAGTTGACCATTGGGCACTTGACGTGGTCTGGTCATTTTGTCATGTCTTTTCTGGGTCCCGGTTTGCACCTGCTGCACTTGCTGATGCCACCTTTGTCCTTCCTGTATCTGCCTTTTTCTGCTTCTTAGTTTACTCCGTTTCCTGTGGTCTTTTCTGACTGTTCTGCACTTCAGGCCTCTTTCCTGTATCCCAGCATGACCATACCTTCACTATTCATCAGTTAATTGAGCTTTGCACATGCCTGAGTTTGCCCAGATGCACACTTATAATTGGTCTGGTGACCCTTGTGATCAACAGGGTCACCAGAACTAGTGTCCCTATTGGAAGTTCTCCACTCTATTCCTGTTGTGATGACAACCTAAAATGTTGCATTTTCTTTCACCTTTGGTGAAAACAGTCACCAAGAAAAATGGAGAGGGTAAATCTCACTAATAGGGACACATACAGCCATAAAAAAATGGACAGGTGTTCTAATCCCACTCCACTCTATCCAAAACTAAACCAGGAGTTCTGACTTTCAGATGATTGACCCAGGGCATATTAATGCCAGAGATAGTCAGACAACTAGCTTTTTTAGGAGATTGGCATTGTCATCCTCCATATTTCTATAAATATGAGTAGAAGCTAGCCACACAAAACAGATTTTTAATCTGTCAGATCATCAAAATGCACCCAAAACATCAAGGGGGCTATTTAGGTCTATTTAGGGAACTTGCTGTAAATATATATTGCAGATCATTGAGATCCAGGTTAAATAAATGTATTTAAATTAGAAAAAAATATGTTTTTTGAACTGTAATAGTATTTGTTTATTTTCTATAGATACAGAAGCGGAGAGAAATGCACTCAGAGAACAGGTGTATCCCAAACTGAGAGAATTCTGCAGAGAAAACTATGGCATGGAATTCCAGGTATTTTTCTTAGTTATGATTTTATATAACAGAACCTTTTATACTCCCCCTTTCCTGTGGTACGCTTTTTTTTTTATAACACATGAAGGCTAGAAAAAACAGATCTGTGTATTATCTTTCATGATAGCCAACACAGCTAGGTCATAGGCAACATAAAGTATAACATAGAGGTTCACTCATAACATGGCTCCATGCATTGGTATCTTTCAAGAGCTTCTCAAGCATGTTCAGCTTATAGAGATGACAAAAGGCAAAACTTAAATCAAATTGCTTGGTGGATACCATCTGCTCCTGAAATTTTAAATCACAAATGTGATACCACTCCAGTGGCTCTTGGCTATATTTTCCAGCCATGGTCGTAAAGCCCCTGGTGGGCTCTGTCTCCTCCCCAGGACAGTCACTGCACAAAGATAAAGGCTGTGCCAACCATATTTCCCATATTAAAACAAGAGTAATTGCTTGGAGTAAATGGCACCTACTCTCAGGTTCACTCTCATCTCTTACACATTTTACCCCGCATCAGGAATTAATTATAGAGGCCTTTATGAAAAAACCCTGATGGAGTGTGAAACATGCAAGAGAAGGAGCTGAGCCTTCCTGAATTTTTAGGCTAAGTTTATAAAATTGTTAAAAATTGCCCTCCAGCCATTGGGTCTGACCAATAGATACTAATGTGTTTGCATGGGATCACAATCGTTTTACTCTGTGCCCTTACCCTTCACTGGGAAAGAAATAATGGCACAGGCCACATTGGAGATTTTTCTCTATTCACTCCATTGGTAGTGCCTTTTTACTGTGACAGCATTGGTAGTGCCTTTTTACTGTTTACCTCAATAGACTATTTCTTAATTGTACAATACGGTGCACAAGATCATAGTATAGACCGTGAGTTATATGCAGCTACCTTCAGGTGATTGGATAGTGGCAAACAAAGTTGTAAGGACAGCCCCAATATAGACCCAATATAACTCTCCCCACTCCCAGCAAGCCTCACCTGGGGTCACACAGATCAGAATGAAGCAGGTCTCATTCTGTCTTGGGTGAAACTCCATGGTCCAGTTATGCATATCCCAGACATAAAAAAATGGCAGGTAGACTTCTTCAGTCGGCCACATCTGGATCCAGTGGAATGGTCCCTCCACCCAGAGGTGTATCAAGCTTTCCTGTTGGTGTTAACTGCTGTGTTACCCACCCCTCAGTTGGACTGATTTTGGTTTAGTCTCTGATCCTCTGTCCTGCACTGTATGATGGTTGAATATATAGTAGTCAATCATAATGTTCTGGATTTATACTGTATGATTTTTTTATTTACCTGTAAAGTACAGGACTTTCTCCTCTGTTCTTATGATCAATCCTTATTGCTGGCTACAAAATTGAGGCTTAGTGGGATTAAAAGTGGTTATATTGAGGTTGCCCTTACAGCTTTGTATGCCACTGTCCAATTACCTGAAGGTAGCTTCATATAACCAATATATACTTTGGTCTTGTTTTCTATAATTACTGCAAGTAAAGTATTTTGAAGTAAGTCAATATCCTGTTTTTGTAATCTTGTAGCCAGTGCATTTGTAGCATTCCAGTTTATTTAGCCACCGTACAAAAACCTGTTACACCCTAGAAGGTTAAAAATCAGCCCCCTCTATAGGGTGCTTTTAAAGGTCTTAAAATGTGATTAATGCTATTTTTCTCTGCTTAAAATAAAAGCATCCAAATAGGTTTTCTTGATATGGCAGTTCTAGCTGTTGGAATTAAGTAGACCACACACAAAGAAATGTTTTCCTACAATCACACTTTTTAAGTTTAAGTTACATTTTTGCAGCATCCATCCTGTAAAAAATGTTCATTCTGATGGTATGTAAATTATTGTATAATTACACTACAGATTCTGAATTCTACTACATACATCACCAGTTTAGACCTTATGAATAATTCTTAGACTAACAGTTTAACCTAACTTGACCCACTTTTTATGATTGGATGGGATCTAATGTGACCCCATTTTATCAAACCTTTGCCCAATTTACCTAAAACTAAATTAAACCTCAAACAGTAGATTGGGACACAGGGACTGTGACTGTTGAAAATGTTTATTGGACTCTATAGGCAGTGATCCTACTGTGTACACTGGCTGCAAAATGGAGATTTATCAAGTGTATATGACATATGATATTTACTTGTATTATCCTCCTTTTTCCATTACCAATGTACATGGTTTAAATTTGGTCTGACAGATTTGAAGTTAAAGCTTTCACTAAGAAAAAAAAATATACCAAGTAAATTATGTAAAATACGGTACATAAGCAGGAGTTACCTTCAGTGAAAACCGTCTGTCAGAAGAAGTAGATCCAGAGATATAGGCAGCTAAATTTGTATTCAAATCTCTATGTGTCCTGTAAGGTCTCATTCACACCAGACACAATGTGTTCTCGCCCGAATGTGGCCGTAACGCACTGGATCGCATTGTGGCCGGCTCAGTTTGTTGTGGGGCGGGAGGGGGCGTGGTGGGAGCTGCCGATACGGCCGTGCACGCAGCACGGAGCTGTACGTGCCAGCCGTTTCTCACGTGAATAAGGCCTAAAAGTGATTTATTCTGTTGCTTCCTGTGATTTCTTATTTGCTTCTTTAGTGCACCAGGCAACTTAACTGACCTATAGAGAAGTTTGAGAGTCAGCTAGATTTAGCCCAACCATCCCATGAAAAGCTAGGATTTGCATATAATTTCAGCTGCCTTTATGAATGGTCTAATCATTTTGTCATATGGTTTCTTTCAAAAAGTATCCTCTACTTATGCATTTTTCATCACATGCTCAGTTAGAACTGCCCATGGCTGGGACAGGTTAAACTGAAACTATGCTCAGGAGTTAACCTTTTAAAAACAACTTCAAGTACTTTTTAAAAATGTATCTTATTTGTGTATCACTCAGCTGTAGATCATCAAATCATCTCTAAATTGGTGCTGACACTGTCCTTCCTCCTGGAGGGTGGTTACAATCTAAGGTCCCTATCTTACATGCATATATACGAGGGACAATTTTAGACGGAAGCCAATTGACCTACCAGCATGTCTTTGGCGTGGAGGAATGAAAAAAATTGAGTTCCTAGAGGAAACCCACGCAAGCACAGGGAGAACATGCAAACTACTTGCAGATAGTGTCCTGACCAGCAAATTGAATCGGGGACCCTCATTGCTGCAAGGCAGAGGTGCTCATATGTGGCAGTGAAAAAAGTTAAGGTTATGTGGCAAAATGCACCAAAGAATAAGTCATCTTTTTATGTCATTGTATTCTCTATAGGAATACATGGAGAATTCACTTAAGCCAATAATAGCAGATCAAGACATAACTGTCCTGTGCTGATCTTCTCACCAAGGTCCCACAAAGCCTCACATTCCTGGCAGGAAGTAAAACCTGCATGTACTCTACTTAAAGTGACACTAAACTCAGGAGTTAAATCCAGAGGCATAACTAGAAACCTCAGGGCCCCGGTGCAAGAAACCATGAAGGGCCCCTCCCCCCCTTGCTGCAGACCATTGGCCTGCCGGGAGCTGTAGTCCCAGGAGGCAATGTCAGGGCCTTGTTTCTTTCCAGGCCCCCCAAGTAGCAGAACGCCTGTGCCTGGTAGCACATGCAACCCTGGGGGTATAACAATGAAGGCATGCTGGGACTTATAGTTCAACTATAACCAGCATTCCTTCATTGTCCCTGTACACCCCTCCACAACTTCCAGGGAACTACAAGTCCCATCATGCCTTCATTGTCCTTGTACACCCCCACATATAAATCACCCAGGGAACTACAAGTTCCAGCATGCAAGCCCCCTGCAGTAGTTCCCTGGGTGATATGTGAGAGGTGTACAGGGACCGTGAGTGCATGCTGGGACTTGTAGTCCCCTGTATGATAGAAGGCTGTTTTAATTACGTTCCTCATTAAAATACTAATAATACAATGGCATTATAGTACAGTAATTTTCAAGATCAACTATATTCTATCCTATGTTTCTATAATGGCTGTCATGAGGACAGTCATTAAAACAGCCTTCTATCATACAGGGAACTACATGTCCCAGCTGAACTGCCGACTTGTAGTTTTCTAGTAATACAATGACATTATAGAACATGGAATAGAATATAGTCAATTCCAAATTCAGCCATGTTCTATTCCATATTCTATAATGGAAAGAACTTACCTCACATGTCAATGTCCTCTCGTTCTCTCAGCTGAAGGAAGCTCAAGCAGGCTGTAAAAAAAACACACACTACTGCGGGGGAGAGCGGCGGAAACATCGGTCTGTCTGTAGTATCAGGACGGCTGCTGCTGGGTCCTCGCGGCCGTGTTCACTGCCGGCCCGCCCACCCGCTTCACTGCTGTTCACTGCTGGCGAAGGGCGCAACCCCAACATGGACCCTGTGTGTGGTGTTGTACAGTAGCCACCACTCCAGGCTCACTCCTGTGATACTCTACAATCTCAATTCAAAACAATAAAAAAAACATGAGGTTGTTGTCCATCACAAGAGTGAGCCTGGAGTGGTGACTACTTTACAAAACACTCAGGGATCATGGAGAACAAAAGTAGCCACCCTCCAGAAGGAAGGACAGTGTTAGCATAAACCAGAGATGATTTGAGGATCTACAGCTGGGTGATACATAAATAAGATACATGTTTGTTAATAGTTAAGGTACCTGAATGCATTATTAAGATTTAACTCCTGAGTTTAGTGTCCCTTTAATTTTAGTGAGCCTTCCACTACTTTTGCTTCAAAAAGTTTGAAGCAGATGGAGCTCAGATGGGACCTCCTATCTACATGCTTTGCTTTTGTGATTCCTAAATTCCGTTGCTTTGAAAAATAAATGTGAACCAGAAATGTATTAGAGTTGTATGTGTCCATGTACTGTATTTGTGTGGTTGTAGACATTATGGTATTCTTCTGTCCACTAAGTGGTATCAAATAATATTGACTGGCAACTTGCTGTGCTATATTTTATAATTTAGTAAATATTCTGAGG